CTCAGTGACCGGCACCAGTGTTGGGGCTCTGTCACGAAGAGGCGTGGTTTCCATAGCCTTTTGAGAGTTCGAAGCCCATTTTTTCAATTGAAATCCCCTTTTGAAAGGCGATTGCATAGTTCATTCCTTAGCTTTACTGCACCGGTAAGTACATCGTAGACGTACATTTTCACACTCACTCCCTTAGCTGCCGTAGGATGGTCTTTCTCGTGTTCTTTCGCATGCTTTTGTACTGTAGCAATGGAAAGGAAAGGAGAAGGGGTATCTCCGAATGTCACTCGGGTCATGCAATAAACTTCCGGAGCTCGATGAGTATGCAGATCTCTCCACAGGTATCTGTGACTCTTCTGATCTTGACGTTTAAGCTTGATTGATATCTGCCATGATACCGATCCGATGGCACCTGAATCTGATTAGAACATGTCCGATATCTGGCTGACGTTTTGGACCTTTAAGAAGACAGGAGTTGAGAGATTGCTTATCACACGTTTTGGCCCTACTATCGAACAAGACTCTACACTTCATGGTGGCTCTATCTTCTCGGAATACGCCATGATGAGAAAGGTATCTTATCTTGTCTGCTTTGTGATCTTCTTCATCTATCGGCCGAGCATGGCCGTCTTCAATGTATTGGCTCACTGCTTTACAATACCTTCTCACCTTCTCTGAATTCGTTACCAAGCTTCTGTCAGTGGAGACGAGTCTTTGACATGTTTGCCCATAGTTGTCAAGGAGGTGGATGATCTTTCTACCAAGGAAGACCAACCTCATATCGCTCACCATCAAAACGGCAGGAACTGTTAAAATGATTAACTGCATCCTCCTCTTCGCCTGTTCTTTGATGCTCCTGATGATTTACGATCCCAACAGCTTCTAGCTTCCAGAAACGTTTTGATTGATCATCCGGACTGTCGATCTTCGTAACAGTGAGCATGGCTGTAACCTCTTCACTCTTCTTAGACCCTGGGACAGGACCACTCAAAAGCCAACCAAGTCTTGATTTAGTCGCAATCGGTGTTCCTGGGCGCCCTTTTCGTACATTTCCTTCAACCAACTTGTAGTATTGATCGGCTCCAACAAACAGATCAACCGATGCAGCTTCTCTTGGAAATGTGTCTGCAAATCGGGGGTTCTTTAGATGATCACATTTTTTGACGTCAGCTTCCACAGCTGCGAGTGGAGCCCAAACACTGCTTATGGTCTAGGCATTAATCGAGACGGCATGAACATCATCACTCGAGTTGAAGGGAGCCAACCTAAACTTTACTCGGTTCATCTTCTTTCCCTGTTCCTGACCACCAAGTACGTTAATGGTCATAGCGACGGGAGATCCACTAGGTTTTATCTTAAGATCATTGCAGACACAAACCCAGAGAGAGACTGAATGTCCTCTTCATTTGGTTTTGACTTCTCAGAGATGTGTAGCAACTGATGATATCTTCTTCCACATCCATCAACTGAGCATCGTGGAGCTTTACATGTCCTTGAATTGTGCGAAATGCTTCCTGGTTGTAAACAATTAAAGCAATTTGGAGCACCCTTACGCTTCATCAGCATATCCCATCTCTCGTCAGGTGTCGTAAACAGAGCCGTTGGGCACCTTGACGTCTCGTGACACTTTGCGCACAAACCACACTTCATATTTTTCTAACCATGATCAGAGGCATCATCTAGCGATTGGGCTGACACTTTCTCTTCCTTGTTCGGATTCTTGAATCTTTTACCTCTACCGTTCCTCCCACTGTGCTTCGGTAATCCGTCCAGCACGTCGTCGGCCTATGACCCTCTGAAAATTGAAATAACTTCTTAATGTTGATCTCCTCGTCTTCCTCTTCAGTTTCATACTTGGTGGGCTCCAACACCCATTTCTCCTTAAGCTCACAAGGAAACTTTGTTTCGACAGACTAGGGTGATCATCAGGCTTAAGACCAGGTGACTCCAAACTTCTCATCCTGTTTCGCAATGCGTCGTACAGTTCTCTTAACAGTTTTCCATCAGTCTTTTCAGGAATCTCCAGATTTAAAATGGACTTGACAAGTTCGTTTGGTAATAAACGTTTTCGTTCAAAACGATTTCGCAAATCTTGAAAGGCTTTGGAGTAGTTGTCAGTCGTAACGGAATAGCCTTCGATGCACTTTGAGGCCCTGCGATAAAGGCATGACCCCAGGTGGGTAAACTTCTGAACATTGCTCAGTTTTTTGTGTGAATCAACCGAAGTAACGAACGTGTCATGAAACGCTGGCCATTCCAACACATTTCCTGAAAACTTTGGCAGCTGCAAAAGTGGTAATTTCACACAATAAATTTCGAACCATAGACGAGGTGAACCTGTTCCGTTCCTGTATCGTCGGAAGGCTTGTCAAAAGACCGCATCATTTTCTCCGTAGAATCCTTAATAGCTTCTGTCAACGACTCCCGAAAATTCGTGAAAGATTCCTCGACATATGCTCCAATTTAGTTCACGGCGAACTCGATTTCATCAATTCCTTGAACAGCCTTACGCAGCTGGTCGATGATGGATAAAATTGGCTGGTCCGACTTCTGATCCATACCGTCAACTGTTTCCGAAGTGAGCGATTCTTTCACGCTCGATTGTGGGCTTTTGATTGCGCACTTTTTCCGTGGCGTCGGTACAAGTGTTCCGTTTACCGATGTAAATTGATCTCAGTAGTACTTGAGAAGTCGTTCTTTCAGGCTTGCTTTCGATCCGTCTTGTGTTAGTGCTCGATGCTCAACTTGTTTACTAATCCCTTCGCCTCAGTCAAATTCTTAGGAATCAGAAATTCTTCTTGACCTTTTTCTGCTATGTTCGTGTACGTGTTTCAGCCGGCGTATTAAATGTGGCTAAATATCATTTAGGCAAGGTTAAACTCGAGCTAATGCAGCCAGCTAGCGTGCCCATCC